TATGAGAAGAGGAAAAATAGAACACGTGGTGAGCACTAGAAAGATCTTTGGAAGGAGGGACAGAGGAAGACAACGAGAGAAGATTCTTGACAGTCTTGTTGCATGGCATGGAGGTGTGTCAGCATACGAACTAATACATGCTGATGGAGATCGCAGATTGTGGCAAGGCATAATCACCCACGCCTCGGCAAGGCACCTGATGATGTTGATACACTCTTCGTATTCGTTTTCGTATTCGGCCGAATAGTTGGTCCCGTTATTCGTATTCGGCCAAATAGTGAAAATCACTATTTGGTACAGGCCTAATAATAATAGATTTTCAAAAAAATGAAATATTTAAGCAAATATTCAGACAGAGAACATCTACCATGGTTGGAGGAATAACTCAGCCCCTTGCAAATTTTATAGGGTTCTCTAAATAAAAAATTCGGGGTAGGCGGGGTGTCAGGGGGCCTGAGACGGTAGACTCCTGCGCCTATGCTACTGAGAAAGTTAATACATCGGCCTGCCCTAACCCTTTCACTAAACGTGGCAACAAAATCTTCTCCCAGGTAGGATAAGACACTACCTGTTAAATAAACACAGATCTGTACCTGGCAAATCTAAATATAAAAGCTATCTTTGAAACTCTACTTTGGAAAAAAAAGCGGGGCGGGGGGAGGGGGGGGGGGGGGGGGGGGGGGGAGTGCATGTTGTTTAAGCGCAATCACAGTTCTCGTTATCAAGTTCGTTTTATGCGTCTTTCATTCGTTATCAGGTTTTTACTTTACTATAATTGTCCTGCTCTACGTGTGATTTCTCTATCTTTTTTATTTTATTTTATTATATAGGATGTTCTCAAACTGTTCAACGCTATACGTGTTTTTTTCTATTTCTGTTCAGCTTGCAGAAGTAACCTTCATGAGCAATTTAGCTACACGTACCGCCTCCCCCCGACCCCCCCCCCCCCTCCCCCCCCCCCCCCCCCCCCCCCCCCGCCCCCCCCCCCCGTCCCCCCCGCCCCCGCCCCCCCCCCCCCGCCCCCCCCGCCCCCCCCCCCCCCCAACCCCCCCCCCCCTCCTTTTTTTTCCTACTCCCGATTACCAAGGCATATTCAGTTCTTTTTATGATAATATGTTCTCATGCTGTTTAGAGATGAGGTTTTTGATAAGAATGAAGAGAATATCGTGGATTGATAGAAAAACAAACGAGGCAGTTTTCCAAGAGACAGCTGGACACTGTGAACTGATTAACGAAATTAGATATAGTGTGTTTGTTTTTTTCTTTTCCCGAACATGTTATTACAATCGACGTCTTTGCACATTGGGCATCCCAGTGCGTGCTCGGTCCTCCGATGCAGCAGCCACTTCAATGTACCTCTATTCATTGTTCCCGCGAGAAATTAGTTATAGTATCTTGTGTGTTTACCTCAAAGACAGCATTGACGTGCTTCACCGAGTTTTACTCCTCACGCAGTTGTGTTAGCGTCAGAGATTCGCAATTATCCCCAACCTAGTCCGTACAGCGTTATGTTCGAGAACTTGGTTGCAAGATCAATGGAGCAGAGAGCAATGGAAAGGCAAAAAATGTGGCTGGATGGTTTGGCTATATGGAAGAAATCGAGACAACAAAGATGATCTGATCAGTAATTCTGGCGATCTGGTAAGATGGTGAAACTTGACCGCCATCGCTGGAAGATGTAACGCTTTATGTATTATTTTGCTAATTGCTGTTTAACTGTATGTTTAGTTTCTCCACAGCCGTTTAGCCCATTGTTCAGATGTAGTAGAATTGTCCCTTGCTGCTTAGCTAATGAATGAGCTCAATATTATTGTTCAAATCTACACAGATGGCTCTGCTGTGAAGCTGATCTCGAGCCAGGTATTTTGGAATTAGAAAGAGCGTTCGTAACAACTAAGCCACGGAGAAATTGAGCTACGTGTATGATTTCCCCATGCCATAGCAAAAGTGGACTTTAGCAAAATGCTAAAGATGCTCACCAATAAGAAGACTGCAGTATTAAAAGTTCTATGTAGAACATGTTTCGTTATATACACTTGAGACATGTACAACAAGCAGACAAGTTGGAAAACATTTTTCGGAACAGAGATGTGGTTTTTGAGAAGAATGCAAAGAATATAACAGACGAGGAAAAAAACGAAAAAAAAAAAAATAAAAAACAACATTAAAGAAGAACAGATGAGATGATGTGGCCATCTGACGAGAATGTCTTGGTACCAGCTGCCACAAATAATAACGACGAAATAAAATGAAGAGCGAGAGGAACATCATTCTAAGAATGGAAAGACGGCTTAAAAATAGCTAAGAAGTGAAGAGCGACTGATAAAATACATTAGAAGTAGTAATTAAACGATTTTTAGATGTTCCGCAAAACAGGAGGTGAAAAAGAGAATAAAATAATGATAATGATGATGATGATAAAAATAATAAGAAGAAGAAAAAGAAGAAGAAGAAAAAGAAGAAGAAATGTATACCTAAATTTACAACTAATATCGCTATTTCCTTAGCCACTACTTTGACGTGATTTCTTTGAATATACAATCTCGGTTTTAAGTTCTATGTAAATTCAATTTAAAACATACAACAAAGAGAAGGGGGGAAAACATAGAAATGCGTCATTGCTTTCATGAAGTTTCTGAACTGGTTACAGCACCTACACGTGTGTTTTACCTTTGGCATCTTGGCTAGGTGCCTACGTATGTAGAGCTGAAAATCTTGGCTCCAGCATAACGGCGCGTTCACATAGACCTCACTTTTGGGACGTGATGTTCTGCGAGTCAATTACTTACACTGCTAAAGCAGCTTTTTGTACAGTCTTCATGGTCTACGGTTCAGTCAGACGGATGGACATACGGATGTACGGACGGGCGTGCATTCGGACGGACATAGAAAAATAAAAAGATAGAGACGGACAGAGATAGATACATAAATAGACACACAAATAAATAGACAAACAGATTGACAGAAACTGATAGACGTGCAAAGACAGACAGGCAAGTAGGCGGGTAATGTTTATGGTATACATAAACTGTTTACGTACAACTACAAAGTAAAGATCTCTTCACACGCCAGTAGCGCATCGTGCATGTGAGTCTAGACTCATATTTTCATAGACCAATGAATGATATAGTCAACATCAGGCCGGAGGTCTTTACCTCCCAGGACATCAGCTACATTTTTCGAGGAAGTGATTAGAAAGGGGGAAACGTGATGACAACTAACTCTGCCCTCCCCTTTGCGATATACCTATTACCCGTAGACAGGCACCGAAATGTCATTAAGGCAATAGTGTCAGTGAATCAGCATTGCACGGACTCCTTCAATCTGCCTAAAGGGCTTGACTATAATTGAGTCCTGGTGTCTGTGTGGTTTTAGTTTCTTTCTTTTCTTGCGACGTGGGTTCACGTCTTGTTGTCGTTTTTCCTGGATTAGTGAATCAGCAACGTGTACCAGTCTACAAATACACAAAGTCAAAACTGATAAAGGACAAAACAAGAGCATTTCATGTGAGCACTTAGGAACAAATGTAAACCAGCAATGCGTGAATGTTGCGAAAGTCTCCCCAAACGGAGTTAGTCCAGCCTATTTACGCACAGTCACTTTTCACTCATACTTTGTTCGGCTGGTAAACTTTGCTGAAGGTTACGGATTGTCCCGCTCTATTGTTTGGTTTCTGCATTGTCTTCCATTTACGTGTTCATTATAGAAAGAGAATGCCTGTGACAAAAGTTGCAGCACTCTTAGGAGATTTGTTTTAGGTCCAGTGCTACATGTTTTTAAAAGCGTTGACGTGCTTAAATACAACACGTGACATCAACGGTATCGCAGAACACCCCCATAACCTAGTTGACAAGGCTAAGCAACTACCAATCAAAATTAACCTAGTGTGTAAATAGGCGGGGCTAACTCTGTTTGGGGAGATTTTCGTAGTGTTTACCCCAGCAATGAACTCATACTGTCAGTCCATTATTAACTCCGCCCCAACAAGGGACGCAATTTAGTTAACTTTGTATTTCAAAGCCCCACCCCAGCTATCGTCGGGGGCCCTAGTACAACCGAACGGTTGAATTGGTTTTCTGGGACTTGTGCCTGGGGGATTCTCATACGAACGGTAGCACTTTGTGTCATTGGGTGTTTATCCCTCGTTGTGCGGTCCTGGAGGAGTTGAACGTCCCTCATTCACTCATGCTGTCAGTCGCTACATGTTTTTTTTTTTTTTTGTATCCAGAAGCCATGAGTTGTTAACCCTTAGGCTCGGTATTATGGATATCGCATCCCTTCGGCCTTGATTCCAAGACAAATACCGTAAATCTGGGAGAAATGTGGTTTTTCTGCCTACCCCCGGGCGTGAACCCGGACCACAAGGGGTTCGTCATCCGGTCACCGCGCAGTCCGGTTTAGCCAACTACGCTAGAGAGCCGGGCGTCGCTACATGTACATGGGTAAATCGAGGACGGGATTCGAGCACTTATGGACTGACTGGTTCGATGTGTGCAAGGAGGCTGATCTTGCAAACCACCCAACTAATTAATTTACTAACTAATCAGCTGACTTGTTTTGACACACGTTTTGAAAAACTTACTTATGATTAGAACTAACTAGCTAGCTAGTTGTCTAATAAATAAATAAATAAATACATTATAAAACGAACAAAATAATCCTCGTCTAATTCATTTTATTCATCATTATTTTACTTGTTTGTAGCCATATGGTGCCCCAAAATAGGAAGCTAACTCTGTCCTCCAATTAACACATCACCACCTAACTAACAGATCAAATCACTCAATACGCAGCCTGCATTGCTACAAAGCATGCAGATGTGAACGCACCTTTGTTCAGGGTGGGGTGACGCAGCCAAGAACCGTTTCTGCAGCCTGGAACTAAATGCACGCCTCGCCAGAGCTCACGTCAGAGTCATTTCTGAGAGCCAGCATGTGCACGCTCGTGCTGGCCTCAGTGGGCACCCGGCCTTTCCCATGACAACACATGTCCTGTCAGACATGGATCCGTGTCATTCTGTGTCCCCCAGGTCACCAGCTTATACTTCAGCTATCACGGTTGCTCACCTTATTCGCAACGTGAGTAATTTACAACATTTTATAATTATTAATCTTAATTAGTTAAAATTATTGTTAGAATATTTGCAAATACTTAACTTTACTTGTTACGTAATTGATCGGTTACCAACACAGGACAGCAGGTTACTTCTTGAAGGTATATGGTGCCCTAGTGTACCGTAACTGTCTTATAGGGCTAGCCAGAGTTGTGTCTAAGATTTATTTCTATTGGATAAGCATCTGAAACTGGCACTTTGAGTTACTGGGTGTCAAACCTTTAGGTTACAATGTCGGAAAGAGAATACCGGATCAGATTTGTTATGGTTTCTATACTGCGAATGTCTAACCTTAAAAAAAAAAAAAAAAAAAATGAGAAGTAGTAAATTTCTAGAATTTTTGTAAATTGCCTGGAAGGGAAAGGGGACGAGGAAGGGAACTGGTCTGCTATTGGGAAAGAGGGGGGGGGGGGGCGCCATTGATTCCTTTATTTATCACTTTTGCTGTGAAGGCTTTGACGTCTTTGGGCCTGGGGATTTAGGTGGTGGTGCTCTCACCGTGGAATTTGCAGGTTATAGTTTTATTTTTATCCTCGACACAAGAAAAACATCCACAAACCTTACCCATGATTCGAACCTGCGTCTTCTGCACGAGAACCTAGTTTTGTTTAATTGTTTGGTCAGTCGCTCCTCGGGGAAGTGGTTAAGGCATCAAATGTTGTGGGTTAGAGTGTGATAAGACCTCACATCTGACCCCTTATATTGGAGTATGTGGGACTGTCTTTAACTTTTATGCAACAGTTAGAACGTTAGTTGGTATATTCTTAGCAGGATATCCCAAAGTAAACGTTGCTTTCAGAAGGCGAAAAGTATTTTGTGTAATGAGTAACTTTCATTGACTACCAGTCAGGAATAAACTACTAAAAGTTATGTCCGTAATGTTCTACTCTATGGCAATGGGTCTTGTACTGTGGACGAAGAAATTGGGAAAGTGTTCGGAGTTAGTTAAGGTGTGATTTAAAACTAGAAAGTTAAACACACGTGTAAGAAAGAGGCATAGAGTGTGTTCTTTAGTTATGTGAGGAGGAAAGCATTGCAGAATATCTTGACAATGGGAACATTAAGAGGCAGAAGTAGAGAGAAAAGGTAGGGAATCGTCTAACACAGCGGCATGCTGCGGCATATCACTATTAGAATTATTTAAGGACAATCTGTACAGCAACATGAACGGCCTTGTCACCATGTTCAAGATAGTGAAATATTGATTCCTTTTTATTCAGTACTTACTGTATATTTCGCTAATGCCTTTCGATTTTCTATCTTTATACTAAAGAGTTGAAATTATGCTTTTATTTAAGCAGTCTGCTAATGTTTTTCACGGGAGATTGGTTTCTCCAGGGCTTAGTTATAAATATTGGTTATCCATGTAGTTGCCACCTAGTAAACTGGTTATTATTTACAAACACTAGCCCTGACATTTGTTGAATTTGAAATTACAAGGAGGAGATTCTGACCATTTGGATCTCTCACTCTTGGTAAAATTATCAGTAACGAGCAATTTTTGGCAGGTAAAAGTTACAGTTTCGTCTAAATCATGAAAACTACAGGCATGTCAGATGATAATTAAAAGGACTATCATAGTGTTGCTAGATAACTGGGCGGGGTACACCTGACAGTATTTAACAAGAATGTAATTTGATTTAGGACACACACACTATAGAATAAGATATCAGCATCTTGGTAACTAAACTAGGCTTTACAATGGTTGGAGAAATGCCAGAACAGTGGACGTTTGAAACGTGGGACTAAAGTACCGAATATGAATCATTTGTTGATAGAGGAAGAACGTGTATCGAATCTGTCCATGCTTACACCAGAGGGCTATCATCATCGTCATGATCACAATCTTCTGCTGCTGCTGCTGCTACTGCTGCTGCTACTGCTGCTGCTGCTTCTGCCACTACTACTACTACTACTACTACTGCTGCTGCTGCTGCTGCGGCTACTACTGCTACTATTCTCAAAAACGTCATTGACATTAGTATCTGTGTACTCTGAAACTGTTATCTTTGCTTAGATTCATCATCATCATACTGCTGTGCTGCTATATGCCACATAAGGCTCGCGGTTGATAATTTCACTTAGACTGGCGAAGTAATAACACCTCAGACGAACTAATAAAGATGACAACAAATGAAGATAGTCGATTCTGGAAATAAGTCGTAATTAGCAGATAAACAATGACATAACAAAACTAGAAATGTACATAGGTGCTATGAGAATATTGAATCAAAAGGGAGAAAAATCAAATATTGCACATTTATTCATAAAACTTTATCGGCAGACAACAGATTAAATTATTTGACCTGGAAACAAGATTGGCAACAAAGAGGGTACCAAAGAGAGTAATGTTGTATAAATACAACGGTAACCCAGAGGTCGACCACGCAAATCATGGATCGCAGAAATATCGGAGACGCTGAAAAGTGAAGCATACACAGAAAACAGAAGGGTCCGTTCTAGAGATCTCTTCCTGTTCTGACAAACGAGAAGATTTACTGCAGTATGGGTTTCATAAATGAATACAATGACAGCAAATAAAGTAAGGCACCATCTAATTGATAAACCCCTCCCGAGCAGTTCACTTAGAATAATTCCAAGCAGCAACGCAATTTAGCTGTGCAGTACCTGCGAAGATCTACAAATAAAAAATACAACCCGGAGCTATTTTTGACTTCAGCTTGTCTTCACCTGCATGACGTCACCAAGGTCAAAGCAACTTCCTGCTGGATGCAGCTCTAGAAAAATCTAGATTCGTTTCCTGATTTTTTATTTAAAAAAAAAAAAGGCAGCGAAAGCCAGAATGCTCATAAATGTCTTTTTCGTTGTTGTCTTTGACCTTGTCGGTTACTTTTTTACTATCTATCTATCTATCTATCTATCTATCTATCTATCTATCTATCTATCTATCTATCTATCTATCTATCTATCTATCTATCTATCTATCTATCTATCTATCTATCTATCTATCTATCTATCTATCTATCTATCTATCTATCTATCTATCTATCTATCTATCTATCTATCTATCTATCTATCTATCTATCTATCTATCTATCTATCTATCTATCTATCTCTATCTATCTATCTATCTATCTATCTATCTATCTATCTATCTATCTATCTATCTATCTATCTATCTATCTATCTATCTATCTATCTATCTATCTATCTATCTATCTATCTATCTATCTATCTATCTATCTATCTATCTATCTGTCTGTCTGTCTGTCTGTCTGTCTGTCTGTCTGTCTGTCTGTCTGTCTGTCTGTCTGTCTGTCTGTCTGTCTGTCTGTCTGTCTGTCTGTCTGTCTGTCTGTCTGTCTGTCTGTCTGTCTGTCTGTCCGTCCGTCTGTCTGTCCGTCCGTCCGTCCGTCCGTCCGTCCGTCCGTCCGTCCGTCCGTCCGTCCGTCCGTCCGTCCGTCCGTCCGTCCGTCCGTCCGTCCGTCCGTCTGTCTGTCTGTCTGTCTGTCTGTCTGTCTGTCTGTCTGTCTGTCTGTCTGTCTGATATTTTGTAGGCTCAATATCTAGGCCTAGTAGTGAACAACAATGCCGACTGCACGAAAGATGTCAGACGACGACTTGCTTTTGCAATACAGAGATGAAATAGCAAAAAGAATCTATGGCACAGCACCTGCAAACGTTTTACAGTGGAAGTTTTGAGTTCATCTATCTTTCCTATGGCAACTTATGGATGTGATTCATGAATTCGTGTTTAGTCATGAAAAAAAAAAAAAAGATTCTTCTGAACTGAAATGTTACGAAAAAGGTTTTAGAATATCATTTACTAAGAAGATGAAAAGTATCGGCATCTGACATTATCTGAACGTCAAGGAAAACTGGTCCATAAACAGCATCCTCTTCCTAAAACTGAGTTATTTTGGCCATGTTAAGAGCCTGAATGACCAGGTTCGGGCACCTGTATACCGAATAGACTGGGAAAGATTTGGTAATATTTGGTAATATTTCATCTAGGTAAATCTTTGTCAATTTTTAGCCCAGAGGAACAGGGCAAACAGCAAATAGACAGTACTGCGTAGCCATTGAAGAGAATAGAAAAAAACACTTTCAGTGAGGCAGAAAACAAAGTTAGTTAAGAGAAAAGAAAGATATATCTATATATATCGAAGGCACCCTGAGTACAACAACATCTGACAACTGGTTACCAGCAGGTTTATAGTAACGCATGTCTGACTCCTATAGGAATGGTTACCAGCAGGTTTATAGTAACGCATGTCTGACTCCTATAGGAATGGTTACCAGCAGGTTTATAGTAACGCATGTCTGACTCCTATAGGAATGGTTACCAGCAGGTTTATAGTAACGCATGTCTGACTCCTATAGGAATGATGTTGACAAAATACCAGCAGGTTTATAGTCACACTATATGCCCGAACGCATGTCTGACTCCTATAGGAAGTAGTCCCCGTAGTCCAGCAGTATGCTTTTATAGATTGTCTGGTTTGACGCACGCCTGCTGATCTGATGCCGCTAAACACCATTCTGCATGAAGGTCGTGTGTTTTGTTTGATTTCTCTAAAACTGAACGGTTTTGTGGACTTTATTTAAAAACATAAAGCCAAAAAAAAAAAGACCTTGGATCCTTAAATCGTTACCAGTTTTTTCCCGTATAGGTAATGAACACCCAACCGGTCGTATTAAAAAAAAAAAAAAAAAAGCGACCGACGTGATGTTGACAAAATCATCCACCGAGTGCTGATTGGTCTATAAAATTTTAGTCACTATTATGCGAGGAAAAAAAAAAATCGATACGCCAGAAGGTGGCAGGCACCTGGCAGCCATAAAGGGCAACATGTCCGGGTTTTATCATATTATAGCAAGTTTGTCTCTCCTTTCCCCATCTTATGACTTGTCCCCGTTGAGTCCGAGCAGTTATAGAACCATCTTTTTGCTCAGGGCATCAGTTATGAACTTCGTTTTCACTTGTCAATGGCAGAACCTCTTATTTACTGTCATACATATGCCTGAAAATGGTATGATTATGTATGCAGCAATGTCAAAGGTTCAAAGTGTGTTTGGCCGAAAAACGAAAAGTTAATCGCATATAAGATAATATCCAGTCTTTAAACATTTCACTGGGAAATAAATGGCTGTAATACAATAAAGTTCTAAACTTTGGACAAAAAAAAAAAAATAAAAAATTTATTGTTAAAAAGAAACAGTAAGTAGAACTGATTAAATTTACAAAAACCCCGATTCGTTGTATACGGGTTAGTTCCTTTCTATACAGTCTTCCCATACCAGTTACACTGTATCCCTTTAAGACTTGTGAGATCCAAGAGAAATACTGATAAAAAAACAATAATTGTGCCACTGTTGGCGGTTTAAGGCCGACTAAGCAAAAGCACCAATGACTGCTTTCTTTTATTAACGTGTATATGTAAAATGTTGCGCTTTGTCTGAGAAGTCACCATTAGAGACGACTTTTTTTTTTGGGGGGGGGGGGGGGGGGGGGGGGGGGGGGGGGGGAGGTGGTAATACCTTCTATTTCTCCAGTTACCGGTCATTCACCGCAGCGTTATGCCGAGAAAGGGGGGTGAGGCTGCAAAAATCTTCTTTGTGAATTTTTTTAATGCGCTATGTTTAGGTTTTCTTTTTTCTTTAAGGTTGTTCTTGAAGCGGTTGTTCTCTTTTACGTGTTTTCTCGCTTGCTTTGTGTTCATATAATTATTCAGTGTTGTCTCTGGGGCAACTGGTACCAGGACAGTCTCGTCTAATGAGCACACGTTTTTACATGCTGATTTTTTTTTGGTAGTATTAAGCGCGGGTGGAAAAGTGGGTGGGTTATACTTCTCGTCCTTTTTAGGACGAATTTTTTCGTTATGTGAAGAACTACTCTGGCTTTTGCCAGGGGCCGTAATATAGCCTGGCCATAAATATGGCCTAAAGGCTGAACGCGGTTTCTGGGACCTCTCCACTGTGATCCTCATCCACATGGTGGCACATTGTGTCATTGGGTGTTTATTGAGTGATGTCCTGGTGGGGTAGAAAGTAGAAAATCAGCAGTCAGTCATTTATAATGACAAATGTACGCTGAACTTTTACGTCACATAAAGTAGCACAGAAAAGTCATCTTTTACTTTAGCATTCTAAGCCCTTGGGGTTTACTGCTGCAGATATCACTCGTACCCATTCATCTCTCTGGCTGGCTTGGTCAAGGTAAAGTAAAGTATGACAAGTAGAAATAGGTGAAAAATCACTGTACCCAGTTCAACCGCATAACAGTTTTATTAGGGCACTCGTACGATTACGACATTGGTTAGAATCCGAACATAGCCGGCCTTTTTCTTTTAATGAACCCTGCCTCCCAGGTTAACTTAGCCTTGTGTAGGTACCGGGTAAAGTCATGGGAAGTAAAGGTGGTCAGTGTGATGTTGATCACATCACCCACCGAATATAGACTGGTCTATAAATTATAGCACTATAGTCTAGCACTATATGCCGAATTGGTCTGAAGGCGTCGTAAAATGTCCTTTACGATTACAACGTAATCTGAAGTCCATTGCGGAGATAATATATGGATGGACGAACACTGTTGGAAGTTTCCTGGGCGGGTGTGAGAAGCTAGCACGCTAGCCACTGAACCACATGTTTCTTTCCATATTTTACTCTTACATACGTTTAGAAACAAAGTACAATTGTGAACTTTCGAATATTCCTTAAATCAAAAGAATCAAGAACATTTGTATAACAATCTCGGTGTACATTTTTGTTTTTGAGCTGCTAAACAGTGCTCACTCTCTCACAGGTTGTTATCTTGCTTAAGTTGTTCCCCTCCCGTGAGCACATTCCAGAGCAGTTAGATCATTCACCGTGAGCAAAACACTTGCTGGTAGATTATGCACACGCCAGTTAAACGTTCGTTGCTGTCTGCAGTTTGCAGGAGTGGATTAGAGTCAGTCTGACATTTAGATGTGCATTATTTAGAAGTAGTAAAGCTTTCAGGCCGCACAAATGCCAAGGATTTGAATAGCGGTAACAGCATCATGAGGGAGATGCAGCACGTTTGCCTTCCTAGTCGACGTTCACGTGTTTGCATTTTTTTTTAGGGGGGGGGGGAGGGGGGGGGGGGGAGGGGGTGGGGGGTTAAAAATCAGGCCTGGGCTAAAAGCTAGTTGGTTTCAATGATTACTATGAATCGTCTGCTTTCCCCCCCCCCCCCCCCACCCACCCACCCTCTCGAATCATCGACGTAGCCTCTTTCTCTATCTCTTGTCTGCCTTTAGATTTGAATATTTATGTGTTCTCTATCGGTCCGTTTGTCTGTCTATCCCAGCTTCTCTCTGTCTGTCTGCACGTTTGTTTGTTTGTCTGTCTGTTTGTCTGTCTATCATTATATTTTTGCCTTATTGTTTAGAGATGAGCAATTTATTATTATTATTATTACTGACTGTTTACCCACTACGTGTCAAGGTGAGCAACTGAGTCCTTTACATTTTTTATTAGTAAAGAACTGCTTATATTGCAAGATTCAAATCATATTAGGTACTGGAAGAAAAAAAAAAAAAAAAAAAACGGCGAAAAGGATTAGAAAGAAGTAAATGGGGGGGAAAAAAGCACAGATGGTAATTAACTTAAAAATAAGAGTTTAAGAATAGCATAGACACGAAAGGACATTTTTAACTAAGTATGATTATTGGGATTTCCTGTGTTTTTCCCCTGTTCAAATTGCGGTAGTCAATACCCTTTACTGTAATATTACACTTTAAGATAGCTTAAGAGATAAAAATATAGAAAAAGGCTCCCATATATATATATATAAGTGTGTGTGTGTGTGTGTGTGTGTGTGTAGGGACAGTCAGGCCTGGCGTGAGAGGGTGTGTGTATGGGGGGGGGGGGGGGGGGTTTCAAAGGCGATCAAAGTTTCAACTCTAATATTCCTCGTCTTCAAATCCATTTCTCCTCCCCTACCTCCACCTCACCCCCTCCCCAATTCAAATGACCACACTATTATATATACACACACGCACGCACATACATACGTTAGACATTATTAAACTTAACTCAACGGTGTTATTACATGAAAGGTATATGAGCAAGGTGTGATCGATTTAAACAAAGCAACCATAAGAAAATCTAAAGTCAATGATCGTCAGAAGGAGTTCAGGGCTGCCTGGGTGTCTGTCTTCGTATGTAAACACTAAGTGTCCTAACAACTGAAACTCCCACGATGGATTGGGAGCGTGGGATGGGTGTGTCAGAATTGTAAAACCTATTTTGCTGTAACCTTTCCCGTGCTAGTCTCTCTCTCTCTCTCTCTCTCTCTCTCTCTCTCTCTCTCTCTCTCTCTTTCACACACACACACACACACACACACACACACACACAACATTAAAAAAAAATACTAGTGCGCTTAGCCTCTTTATATATTTCAAAAAGATGCGATTGGGCAGGGGCGCTCAAAAAGCATAAGTACTGGTTTAGTGAACAGTAATAATCATGATATTAAAATAATAATTATTATGTGCTGAAGGACAGATAGAGATAATAGTGAACGTTAGCTCACCCCCACTGTGTCATTCATTTTCTTGTCGATGTTATGTTATGTTATCAAAATCGACGTCACTGCACACTGGGCATTCCCATGCGTGCTCAGTCCTCCTATACAGCAGCCACTCTCATGAAGGTAATTCAGCCTACTAACGTGCTTTATCCATGCTTTACTTCATGAGAAGCCTGGATTTATATTGTCTCCTATCTCTCTGTTTTAGCCTCGACAGACGGTATAGACTGTGCTTTACCATGCTTTACTTCCATGTTCATCGCAATCGTTGTTAGCGGCCTACTTCTAATTCTACTCATAAAATCCATCCTAGAAAACCCAGTCCTTACAGCGTTGGTGATATGCATGCAGTAATGTTCTGCATGCAGTCGTGGCTGCACTCTTCCCACGTATGCTTTGGTTCACTGTTTTTGCCAGCATTAGAGAGCTTGGAAACCCAGTCTTACGATCTAATTGTCAACTGTCGCAGGATATTAAAGAAATATGCCTTTCCCTGTGATATGAACCCGTGGGGGGTTCCAGTAAAAGTGTTCAATGTCTATTATGCTGTTTAACCTTTGCATTGCTATGGCCGCCCAACTCGCTAGCGCAGTTGGTTAAACATGACTGCGCGGCGACCGGTTAACGAACACCTTGTGGTCCGGGTTCACGCCCTGGGCTAAGCAGAAAAGCCACATTTCTCTCAGATTCACGTTATCTATCACGGAATCAAGGCCGAAGGGTTGCGATATCCATAGTACCGAGCCAAAGAGTTAACAACTCATGGTTTCTGGATTCTTATTTTAACCCCCCCAAACCCCCCCCCGAACCCACCCCCCCCCCCCCCCCCCCCCCCCCCCCCCAAAAAAAAAAAAATTGCTCTAGCCAGTCTCCTAATTTTCTTTTTAACATCATCCATTGTTGTTTTGATGCCAACGTAAAGACATTTGTTGTATATTTATCTAACGAAATTAACACATTATTATAACAATATAACACAATTGTTATTTCTTTTCCTGAAACAGATTGAACAGTTGAAGAACAAAGACAAACTTATTTCGCAGCTGGAGAAAGACCTGGGTCACAAGTGGGTCGCTGCTCATCTTGCAGCGCTGGAGCGTGAGTGCAGTGAGGGGGCCCAAGGTTTAACCATGAGTGTCCCCTCACATCCGCTCGGCGTTCTCCCCGATGATAGCTACGACCCCTTTTCATGGACCCCTGCCTCCACCCCTGTAAGTGTTACGTGGTGTGTGCTTATTGTAACGACTGTAACATTCTTGCTGTGTGCTTCTACAATATACACGAGTAGTATAACTGCTCTTGTAGAGAAACTAAGGTTATTAATACGCTGGTCTAACAATTTACACACCGGTACACACTAGCTCGCTTCTGACTGGTCGACCTCCAGCCTACCTCACCACTGAAAGGTCGGTCTCGAGCGATCCGACTTGCACACAAGGTCACACGGCTATTCCCCATTGGCGCTAATATCGCGTGTTGTATATTTCACCATGCAAGAGCTTTTAACACTACAAAAACATTTAAATACTGGGTCTAACACACAACCACCCTAGAGAGTGACGAAACCTATGCCACAGGCTGTCTCTTTCTCGGATTAAAAACGTAAATGCAAGACAACAAGAGACAGTGACAACAATAACCTCGACTACGGTAGACTAGCCCAACAAACTTATCAATGGAGTTGACCTACATTCGGTTGGGAGACTAACGTTATAAGAACCGAAACTAGTTATGGTTTAGCAAGCCACGCCTCTGTGTGTGTGTGTGTGTGTATGTGTGCGTATGTGTGTGCAAGCGTGCACGTGTGTCAGCTTAATATAGATAATTCAAAGTTATGTTTTCCCGCTTATAATTTAAATGTTCTTCTTATAGTCCGTTTTAGTATCCAGAAGCCATGAGTTGTTAACCCTTAGGCTCGGTATTATGGATATCGCAACCTTTCGGCCTTGATTCCATTGTAAATACCGTCAATCTGGGGAAAAATGTGGCTTTCCTGCCTACCCTTGGGTTGAACCCGGACCACAAGGAGTACGTCACCCGGTCTCCGCGAAATCCGGTTTAGCCAATTCCGCTAGAGAGCCGGGCCTTATAGTCCATGATGCGTGGCTTTTTTAGTCACATCTACCCACAACCGTTATGTCCCGTGTACTTTTAATCACGTGTGACACAAGTGATCGTCCGTACCATGATGACAGATTGTAAAGCTTCTTCTCTCTCGATTTGTCTCTGTCTCTTTTCCCCTCGACCTTACACACCGTCACGATTTACTCCAGTGTTCTCCTTCTTGAGACATGACCAAAGAATGTCGACTCTCTTCTTCTGATTTGAGCAATCAGTTCTCTACGAGATTCAATTTCCTGCAAGACATCCACATTTTGTTTTTCATTTGCCCAGTGTGATCTCGTTATTCGTCAAAAAAAAAAAAAAAAACACACACACACAATTTGTATATAGAAAACACTAATAACAAACTGTTCTTTGGCATTTTACCTGCCATGAACCCATTACAGAACTATACACCAGACTTAAACAGTAGAGGGGGGGGGGGGTTAAATACACAACAAACCTCTCTGATACTTTCATCAATCGAGTGTTACCTGAGTAGTTTCTTATACTAACCACACATGATGGGAAAGAGAAAAAAAAACGAGCAAGAGGGTGACAGGACTGCAGTTGGTGAGGATAACATCAAGAGAACGACAAACAGCAGTCTCAGAGAGTGTATGTCAAGGGCGAAGGACAAAGCTTGTTGAAGATTCACTACAGCCAACCTTCACTGGGGAGATGGCACCTAATTGTTATTCCAGTTGACCAACAAATCTTTCTGCTAAAACAGGGTTTGTGTCCAGCTGTCAGCGACAACGGCAGAATCAGTTGTAGACTCGACACGTACATAAGTTTGCAGAAGCTGCTGCCAGACTCAGGGTGTTCCCATGGTCTCAAACTGTGCGAGAAGAAAGACGATGTGGTCAGTTAAAAACGAGCAGAGTCACAATCAATACTTTGGAATATCAGGGACTAACCACGTGTGTGCCGCCGCCCCCCCCCCTCCCGCCCCCCCTCACTAAAGCGCTGGGGTAGTGAGGGGTGGGAGATTCATTGATTTGCTTCAATCTGGCTCTGGGTGTGGATACATGATACGAAATTTTGTGGGAAACTCAAAGAGGTTCTGAAAAGACTGGAATTGATGATAGTTAACGAAAGAAATTTGAGAGAGAGAGAGAGAGAGAGAGAGAGAGAGAGAGAGAGAGAGAGAGAGAGAGAGAGAGAGAGAGAGAGAGAGAGAGAGAGAGAGAGAGAGAGAGAGAGAGAGAGAAAGACAGAGCACGTCGGCGTGAGAGAGCGAGAAATTGACGGACGGCAGTCTTAAAGATTTTACAGCGAGGAAAAACAGAGTTGCGCAGATCAATTACTGACAACCATCATTCTGGAGATGACATCTACTTGATTGATTGACATGGTGAGATGCTTATACTAGACAAATACATTTTCATTGTTCAAACGTACTGAAACACTTAAATTATAGGGAATATAGTATATACATGTGTACACCCACCACCAGTCAGTGAGGCCAAAACACTCAACGGCGATTAATATGAAATTGGCGAGTTTATCAGACTGAAAACAAAAGCTGCAAAATCCAGTCAGTCACGGGCGCATCTCTTTAGAATGATCGGTTGGTTTGTAAACCTTTGCCAGATTTAAATATGATTCAAAAAGCGAAGTGCCATGGGGTTCTTAGCGAAAGCCAGTGGAAAATCTTTAGTGCAAGACGCCCTGGCATACAACACCACAACGTCTAGCACAAGAATGGAGGTGGAGGCGGTAACTGCAGCTCTTCGGTGGCTAGAGAACAAGATGCATACACATTTAGTAATTGTAACAGAATCTGGAAGCATGATGAGAAAGGTGAAGACAGGGTTGCTTCGAGCAGAGTGGCAAACTTCACCGGAAAGGTCACGGGTAGTAAGCATACTTTGGATCTTTTCTCCCGGCCCTAGTGGGCAGACAGATTGGCTGGATTTGCACCACTGGGTGGTGAATTGATACATGACAAGGCAGCTGTGGTCATGGCCCTTTGGAAACAAGCAACGGAATCAGTAAAGATAGAAGATTATTATGGCCTAGAGAGAATGAGGCATCTGGGTGTGACCGAAGGGTTTGGCCGGCTCACTACACTCAGAGGAAAGGCAAGACAGAGATAAAACCAGATTGTGACTGGTACCATAAGCATTGACAAATCTGCGCTGGCTGCTGAAGATGAGGACGGCGCATGCATGGAAATGCCCCGAGTGCTGTGAGGTCAATTCTTGACTCAACTTAAATGTGATTCGCAAGCCAGGCAGTGTTTAGGTCGGGCAGGCAGGCAAACGAATATCAGGAGGCACAGCAAGAACTTTTAATGACCTGTATTTTGAATGAAATATTCTCAAAGCTATCCTTTTATTGATTAAATGGCTCGGGTAGTCCTCTTCTTCGGCATGCTCCAACGTTCATGGTTATAAATGAGGTGACAGGATTCGGGTTATTATTACACTAACATTTAATTGATTTCATTATTGATTGTAATGGAGGCATCCCAATCCTTGCCTCAGGGTAGGTGGCACAGTTTGCTAGAGGAATCTGTCTGTGAATACAAGGGGATGTCATTGTTTCAGTACTGTCATTGCTGTCTTCTGGTGCTCTGTTACAATTTTGAATTAGAAGGTTTACTTACGATTACCTAGCGGGTTTTTTCCAGAGCAAAGTGAGTTCTTCTTCTTCTTCGTTCGCTTGCCTGAACTGGCTAAAAATCTTAGCGGTTCATCCATGATAAGAGTTTGGTTTTCAATGTTACCAGGGAAAGATATAAAACTGAATGAAAAGTAGACCAACTAGCTTCACAATACAACAAACACAAACAAAACGTGAACGTTGCGGCTATAGAGCCTACACCAGCACAAAGATAAACAAAATCACACGAATACACAAAAATCACCTCAGTATCTAGAAGAATAAACATAAAGATCAATGACATACAATTAGAACAAGTTCAAGAATTCAAGTACTTAGGATGCATATTTACAGAAAATGGAAGATTTGATAAAGAGATACAGGCTAGAGTTCAAAAAGCTAATGCAGTCAACTACCAACTGGCCCCACTTCTTCGTCATCCAAACAACGGATGATCAACAGCATTTTCATCCCTACGTTATGTTATCAGTGCCAAAGGTGGACAATGAACAAATCACAAATGCAAAAAATAACTACATGTGAAATGCGATGTCTCCGAAGAGTCACCAATAATACACGAAGAGACAGAGTCACAAACGTCAGCATTAGAGAAAAAGAGCATGCATGAAACATATTGAAAGACAGAGGTTTGGCCATTTAGTAAGAATGCAACAGGATCAGATTGCCTATAATGCCTTTTTCAGTAGAATATCGGGAAGAAAGGCCAGAGGAAGATCCAGGAACAAATGGATAGTTGGAATACGGCCAGAAGATCCAGAAAACTGTCACTCAAATCACGCGAGAGGCACGAAACAAATATTTTAAACCACGACACTGGGCTGCAACCCAGTAAAAGTGAAGAAGACAATAGATAGATCCAGAAGAAGCCACATAGATGTCTTGTCAGTGAAATGGTTTTTAAAGTTGAGGTTTTTATTTTGAAAATGATTTCACAGACTTCTTAACTTGTTTTACTGAATCCCAGAGACAAACTTGATCTACAGTTGGCTTTCTAATTCAACAAAAACATATGCTGTATCTGTAACATTTCTACAACTTTATGTGATACTGCTACATTAGCTTCATAATAATCTTCATATTCTTTTGCGCAGTTGGCACATTTTATTGTGGTTCATGGTTAGGCTGTGATATCTGCACTTTTTGTCCCAACACATTCACTTTTAGTCTTAGGATGAATCTTAGTGCCTTCTACAACATGCTTGTTGGAGTGTGGCTGGGGTGGCTTGGGTGGGGGTGGTGGGAGCATTCTTTTCACTAAAATGGGGCACCAGAACCCACACTAGGAGCTTCTTTTAAATCTTCTTTGTAGCATTCCCTAGCTGTAAACTACAGCGGAAAGTTCTGATTGTTGTCTGCTTTGAGACTTTAGTCTTGTTCCTGAACTTGAGTTTTGCCTGCATCCGCTTTAGAGATCTAGACTGTTGGTTCCTCATCTCTCAGGCAAATGCACCCTGACCGAAGCAAACAAACGCCTTTAATTCATTGACTTTTACTA